TGGACAGGTTCTTACATGAAGGGCCCGATGCTAGCAGGTCGACACTGTGTGGAAGTGCATGGCTTCGCTGGCATGTGTAGCAGTAGTGATCTTCAGATGGTGCATGGAAAATATTCACATCGCCAAATACGTGCATGTCATCGTGCACACCATGTGCCGCCATGATGAAGGCACGCTTAGATTCCTCCAGCTCCACTGAGAACGTGTGTTTCACAGTCACCGAGACCTTGGTTCATATTCTAACTGCATCACTGTTTCAATATTCTAATGGAATCCCAAATCAAAACCAATGATTCTGATCGTGTTTCCAAACAACTGTGGTTTGAAAGCATTTGTCCCGGACTAAGTTGCCGTACTTTGGCTATGCATGGCCACAAAGAGCAAGAAGAAACCATTTGTGCAATTCAGATACAGTACAGTACAATAGAAAATCATAACACATCCCATTGGTTATGAACAAAAACGCTACAGTAAAGTATCTGGTGCATGGCTAGCCACATTGAACATCCGAGAAAGAGTCTGGAATGTATGTTGCATCACTGGTATGATGATGTCCGTACCCGAGCAGGTACTACCGAAGGTGATGCATTTGTTATGCAGCAATTGCATGGTTGTGGCCAAAGCTTCCCGGTCTCCTGGATCTAATCGGTCAACAAAGAATTCAGCGCTGGCCCGAAGTGACATCGCTGGCGAATCAATTCGAACCTGCTGGAGCATGGACCTTGGAATCTGAGAATAATTGCCTCTAGGCAGTTGACCAATCGTAGTTTTGACATCAAACCTGCTGATGCCCGAGAACACCCATTGGACGATAATTCCCTTCGTCTTCGTGTCGAGAATGCCTCACCGGGATGAGTGTAGTCGGGGTGCAAACAGCGTGTCAACATCATACTGCTCTACAGTTCTGTTCGCAACAGCAATGGGTCATGATTTCTGTTTGTAGTTACAGTGCAGTGCTGCACTGTACCAATATAGAACCATGTTACAGTACACTGTAGTATTCCTGTACGACTGGAACCATATTGATCCATATTCTAACTGCATGATTGTTGCAAAGTTTAGATAAAGAATTTTTAAAAAACCAATCTTTAGGCAAAGCCTAGGTGCGTGATCTCCAAGCGTTCTTTTGTACGCTATGAGCAAGTGAAAATGCAACTGATGATCTCAAATCACCAAAGCTCTGGATATGGCTGAACCCTGCTAAGGTGGCTGTCCCAAATGCCTCTTGACCTCCAGATTCCACAAAGCAAATTGCCTTGTGCTCCAAAACTCTTTTGTTCGGTGGCCAGATAAAAATCCAAACTGCATTTCCTGAGTCTTGTTTGCACAGCGCCTCAAAGACTTGACGTGAAATCCTGACTAACAAGAGTTCATCCTCTTGTGGTTGCTCTGCTGCATGCTTACGTTTCTTTGGCCGCTTGTCTTGTTGCTGCTCACTTTTCTCAGCAATGCGTTTCTGACCTTGTGGCTCCATTGCTGGAGGCGCTGCTTGCTTGTCTTCTGTTGCTTGGTCACCCTCAACCTGTGCTGTTGCTGGCTGCTGTTGAGATGCGCTTGCTGGAAGCGCTTCTGTTCCTTCTGTTGCCATAGCTTCTATGTGATTGGCTGGGTGGAAACTGTGCTCTGCTTGTTCTGCTTGGGTAGTGTCCTGTGTGTCACAGCGGTCTATGTCAAAAAGATGCTCCGGTTGGAACGGTCTAGCAACCGTTGCCTTTTCTATCTCATCATCTAGAAGGTCTTCAATGTCTGCAGTTTCTGCTGGTTCTGCAGCTGGACGTGCTTCTGTCGCTTCAGTTGGTGCTTGCCTGTCTTTTGTTTCTGCTGGTGCTGCCGGTGCAAGTTCCAGTGTGGTTGCGTCTGCTTCTGCTGCTGTTGGAGACGGTATTGCACCTGGAGGTGCTTCTGCTGCTTCAGTTGGTACGTTTGCATCTGCTGCTGGCACCTCTGAATCTGGTGGTGCTTGTGCTGATTTGCTCTCTGCTGGTGTTGCTGCTTCAGTTGCTGCGTGTCCGTCTTCCGGTGCTGCCGGTGCAACTGCATGTGTCTCTGCGCTTGCTTCTGGTGTTGGAGACGGTGTTGCAGCTGGAGGTGCTTCTGCTGCTTCAGTTGATACGTCTGGTGCTGGTACCTCTGAATGTGGTGCTTGTGCTGATTTGCTCTCTGCTGGTGTTGCTGCTTCAGTTGCTGCTTGTTCGTCTTCCGGTGCTGCCGGTGCAACTGCATGTGTCTTTGCGCTTGCTTCTGCTGGTGTTGAAGACGGTGTTGCAGCTGGAGGTGCTTCTGCTGCTTCAGTTGATACGTCTGGTGCTGGCACCTCTGAATCTGGCAGTGCTTGTGCTGATTTGCTTTCTGCTGGTGTTGCTGCTTCAGTTGCTGCGTGTCCGTCTTCCGGTGCTGCCGGTGCAACTGCATGTGTCTTTGCGCTTGCTTCTGGTGTTGAAGACGGTGTTGCAGCTGGAGGTGCTTCTGCTGCTTCAGTTGATACGTCTGGTGCTGGTACCTCTGAACGTGGTGCTTGTGCTGATTTGCTCTCTGATGGTGTTGCTGCTTCAGTTGCTGCGTGTCCGTCTTCCGGTGCTGCCGGTGCAACTGCATGTGTCTCTGCGCTTGCTTCTGGTGTTGGAGACGGTGTTGCATCTGGAGGTGCTTCTGCTGCTTCAGTTGATACGTCTGGTGCTGGTACCTCTGAATGTGGTGCTTGTGCTGATTTGCTCTCTGCTGGTGTTGCTGCTTCAGTTGCTGCTTGTTCGTCTTCCGGTGCTGCCGGTGCAACTGCATGTGTCTTTGCGCTTGCTTCTGCTGGTGTTGGAGACGGTGTTGCATCTGGAGGTGCTTCTGCTGCTTCAGTTGATACGTCTGCTGCTGGCACCTCTGACTCTGGTGGTGCTTGTGCTGATTTGCAATCTGCTGGTGTTGCTGCTTCAGTTGCTGCTTGTTCGTCTTCCGGTGCTGCGGCTGCAACTGCATGTGTCTCTGCGCTTGCTTCTGCTGGTGTTGGAGACTGTGTTGCATCTGGAGGTGCTTCTGCTGATTTGCTCTCTGCTGCAAAAGGAGCTATTCTTTTTTCCATGTCTAATCTAACACCTTCTTCAATCATAGCACGTTCTTCTGATACCCTGTAAAGACTCTCTTGTGACATTGGTTCTTGAAACGGTGCATTTTTGGGGAGCCACCTGTCATTGCCATTCTGTTCGCTATCATCAGCGGGAACCGGAATGTCATAGTGGGAGTACCATTGCTTCGAATCAGGGTTTTCCACAAATTGGTATAGCACATGAACGTCAGGGTCCTCGCTCTTGCCATAGACAGCGTCGCGCTGCAGGTTCATCCCACCCATCTGTAGTCGTTGGAACGCCTTCAGGGCATCAGCGACACCATGGTTATAAGTTAAAATCTCTACTTTACATATATATCCAGTACAGTACAGTATACTATATATGGATAATGGGTTCATAATGGTTGGATAAGGGCTGGATAAGGGCTGGATAATGGCTGGATAACTGCATCACCATTGTCAACTTTTCAAATAACATTTAGCTTTGAACATCTCTGGGGTTACAATAGGTGACAGTACAGTAATCACTCACAATCCTTCAAAGTGAGTTGGCAGTCTTGAAACAGGTTTCCAATTACTTTACTTCGTGTGATCCCCACCATAACATTTATACATTTTGTTACTGGCAAATCTTCTGGCATTCTATCTGACATATCTTCTGGCATTCTATTCGGCATTCTATCTGGCATATCTTCTGGCATATTATCTACTCAAATCTTCTGGCGTTCTATCTGGCAAACATTCTGGCACTTTATCTGACATATCTTAATCACTCACAATCCTTCAAAGTGAGTTGACAGTCTTGAAACAAATTTCCAAAAACAAACAAAGCTTTCGGTCGGTATACAGTACAATACAGTACAGTACTTGATCCATATTCTAACTGCATCACCGTTGTCAACTTTTCAAATAACATTTAGCTTTGAACATCTCTGGGGTTACAGTAGATGACAGTACAGTAATCACTCACAATCCTTCAAAGTGAGTTGAATAAGGGCTGGAGAGCTAGATCCAGGCTGGATAAGGGGTTAATAAGGGGTGGATAAGGGCTGGATAAGGGCTTGATAAGGGCTGGATAAGGGTTGGATAAGGGATGGATAAGGGTTGGATAAGGGGTGGATAAGGGTTGGATAAGGGTTGGATAACACCGCCACCATAATATGTATTGAAATTACAGTACAGTACTGTAGTACAATACTACACCGCCACCATAATATGTATTGAAATTACAGTAATACAGTAGTTAAAACCCATACTTTACATATATATATATATAATACCTGTTAAGAATTCCCTGGGGGGGTCATGCTATAGATTCTATAGTGATAAATTGGTTAGCTATGACCCTGGTTCATATGTTTTAAAATAAAATCATTAGCCCCTAGGGAAAAAAATGCTCTATAAAATGAGATTTGACCCCCCCTCAAAGTGATGCCCAACTCATCCGTAACTCTTTGGGGAGGGGGGCCCATGAAGGTAGACCAGAATCCGTACGGAATCCGGTGGCCAATCCGTACGGAAACCGGTGACCAATGACCAATCCGTACGGAATCCGGTGATCAATCTGCACGGAACCTGCACGGAAACCACATGGAATCCGCTGTCATTCATACAACTTTTTCATCTCGCTGTCTCTCCGTTTGTCTTTTCATGTCGTTTCAAAGCACCTGCCCGCAGTGCCAAGTCATTGTCTCACCTACAGCACCTACTGTCACCTCCAAAGAAACAAAACAATGACACGATGTAAAAAGTGATGAAACACAGATAAAAATCACTCCGCTTGATATCGCTTGATTCCGCTTGACACGAAACGAGGTGACCTCAGTTTGAATCCTCTGATTCAAACACAAACACTCAGGATGCATTGCACCAATTGGCATCAAACCAAGCTGCACCACTTATCCGTACACTTTCAACTTGGTGCTACTTGAATTAAGTCTTCACATCATTTCACATCCGGCATCTCACAAATGGACCTCAGCAAGCGCAGCCACGGCGATCGGTTGCCATCATTGAGGTTCTTCTCGAGAGTCTGGAAATGCTTTTCCAACGACTGGCCGTATTCTGGTCTGCTCCTGGTCATGTAGATACTGTGGAAGTAAAAGCTTGCCTTGTCGACAACCTTCTGCCATGACTGCCCCTTCGCGGCATCAATCTTCAACCTGCAAGCTCCAGAGGCAGGGTCAAAGGCAGGCTTGTCTGGAAACTTGCTGATGTCCAAATTGAGAAGAGCCACCATTTGTTGCTGGATCAGTTTGTCTCCTTTTTTGGAACGGGTGAAGTTGGCGGCAACGGCAGGAATCGTATTGTTCTCTTCCTCGCCGGCCTTCTGCTTCTTGGTCTTCTTGCCTCCTTTGTCCTTCTTGTCCTTCTTGTTCTTGTTCTTCTTGTTTTTCTTGCTCTTCTTCTTAGGTGCGGCTTTCGCCTTGGCCAGCCTGGTCCGCTTGACCACACGAGCCCTCCTCTTGCGGCCCCTGCCATTGCCCTTCTCAGGAACCTCTGCCCCCACGAAGCTGCATCTCCACCCCTCAGCTTTGGTCTCACGTGCCTGTTGGAACGATTCCACGGACTGCTCAGTCAATGTCAGCAAGCAGCGGTCGATGAGCTCGTGTTCCTGCAACTTGCCTCAGGAGGGCAAAATATGAATGGACATAGAATGACATAAATGGACCAGGCATGAACAGGCCTGACAAAGCACACATTCTATAAAATGACAGGTGTGACCCCCCCCTTGTGAAATAGAATCAAGTTCTGATGCTATCGATTTCACTGCGATCACATGCGATGCACCATGTCCCTGGCTGGACTTTGCTTTCCAAGAAGCTATCTTCACAGTCCAGGACTGCAATGAGAGCGTCCAAGGGAACAACCCGGGCAATGCTGGTGTCTGAAACCACGAAGGATGCAGAAGAGTCCTGCAATGGGCACAAGGATACCTCTATAAAATGACCTGTATTGACCTTCTTGAAGAGTATAATCCTTCTATGAGATCTGACAAGATACATCAATATACAATGAATATGGAATACAAGATGGTAAAAAAGGATAAAAAAAAGTATGTAAAAACAGCACAGTGAAATACAATGAATCCTCTTGTTGCGTTGCTTCGACCACCCGGAAGCAGAAGCAACCATTCACTGGACATGGATTTGGTGCCGGCTTGCGCTTCTTGCCGATGCGCCAAACCGTCAAAACCAATCCAAGGCAGATCGTCTGCTGCTCGTCCACATAGAGCACGACATGCCCAGACCTGAAGCCCATCGGATAAAAAACACATAAAGAGCATAAAGGGACATGCACATCACACTGCGAGTAAAACACGTGAAAAAAAAACAAAACGACAGAGGTCAACATCGGGTGCAGCTTGAGGAACTGAAGTGAGTTTGGTTCAGCCAAGGGTTTTGCGAACGAAGCTCTCAATCTTCTCCCCTGCTCGTACCAACGCTCCAGCCTTCCAGCTCGCACCCGATCACGTGATTCCACAGATTTCATCTGCTTCATCTTCAGCAACTGGCAATTGCGCTGATGCCAATTGAGTGTGCGACTGCGCTTCGCTCTAGGATTCTTGACCCATTGGGCGTCACATCCATCCGGTGCGCATCGCAAATGCAAACATAATCTCCAAAGCGCGTTCCACCTGTCGCCTCCACATGACCTTGGATCTGGCAAAAGTCCAAACAACATAAACAACAAAACAGATCCATGTGGTTCTCCCCCCTCAAATACAATGATTTCATAGGGGTCAAGGTGAAAAGCATAACAAAACCTGACATCCTAGCTTTTCTTAGCAAGGGCACATTGCAACACCCAGTGTTGCTGGTAGGTCCTCATCAAATCTCTTGCTGCTTGGCATATCATGCATCATAGGCAACACATCCTCCTTGTCTTCTGGTTCGAGACGCCGAAGATCTGCATTGAGGTCCAAATCTTCCTCCCTCATCTCACTCTGAGAAGCTGGCTCAGGATCAGGCACGCAAGCCTTTCTCGTCACTTCTGCCAGGACAAGTTGGAAACGATTAGTCTCTGACCTGAAGGCAAAAAGCTGACAGTTTCAAAGCTTACACCCCTTTGGCTCAGGAACAGTCATTTCATAGGAAGCACCATTGCCAAACCATGCTCCGAAGTTCAAAAAAAATATCAGAATCAGAATGATACACATAGAAGATCATAGAAGCGCATAGATGATCATAGAATATCACAGATGCACATAGATCCACATACATCCACATACTATATCATTGATATTCATTGATAAAAGATGATAAACGTTCAGGATACCACAAAACTTTAAAAACTGGTATATAATATTATATAATGATATATATATAATTATTTATATATGTAATTATTTATATATATAATTATTTATATATATATAAATAAATTATATATATATAAATAAATTATATATGGCCAAGTGACATGTCCCGGGCTTCAGCTTCATGAGGATCATCAGGATCATCAAGAGTGTCAAACTCCATGACATGGCCAAAAGTTTGATCAAACCACCCTGCAGCGGCGCTTTCCTCATAGTAGCTCTTGAGCGATGCTTCTGTGTAGCCCCCTGCCCATGCTGCAAGCTTCACCGCTGCATTGTAGGCACGTTGACAGCAGCCTTGAAACCTCAAATTTGGGGTGCGCACGCACAGGATGCATTGTCCTACGTCTCTACCTGGCTATCCTAGAATAATCCTTGCTTTGCAACCTGTAGAATCTCAATCCTAATCCATCCTGCTCCATCCTGCTCCTATTTTTATTTATATATTTTTCAAATTTTATCAACTTTTATTACCTAACAACACATCACAAGACCATGACTGGGACTAGCAACTCCGTCTCAGTCAGGGCTGGCTCTTGCTTGATGTCCTTCAGCTTGACACAGTCCTTGAATCTCTGGTTCGACGCACGCAACATCTCTCGTTGGGACGCCTCCCAGAATTGCATCGGGGAAAGCTGGGCATTGCTTTGCCTTCGTCTGAGCCTACCAAAGAGCTGCTCAATGCTCAGCTCGCTGAGCCTTGCCGTTCCATATTGCCAAGGGCACCAATCTGCCTGAGGCAGAAGTTCAGGTTCAATCATATCATGGTGTATGCAAAACATTGCAAAACTATCAAATTAGACTAAAACATTCTCAAAGTATGGGAGGAAACCATGTCAGAACCGATGATTTTATAGAAAGTACGAATGTTCATTGACAATGTATACGAGCGATCCATACTTTGAGACACGTAACTGGCTTCGAGGTCGCAATGCACACCAAACTCAGCGTCAGGTTCTGCAAGTTGGTGACAGTCTCTCTGGCCATGGTCATGGAACCCACAAAGGCACCACGGGATGCTTCCAGTTTCGCCCCCATCAGGTACCAGAGGTCGAGGAGAATGTAGCCCGAAACCGAAATCTCAGTCCTGGCCTTCAAGGACATGCCCTTGTGGAGCATGGGACTGAAGACCAAAGCCGTTGACAAGGACCATAGCAATGCTCCCCTGTTCATCCATGGAATCGGAATCATGCTCAGTGTGCCCGAGGTTGTGTGGACATAGAAGAAGGGGTTGGCCAAGAGCGCTTGGAGGCTGTCGCTCTGAGGATCATCCCTGGCAAATGCAGAACCAGGCATTCCACATAGGAGTGACCCACTAAGGTCAACCCAGAAACGACCCAGGTGCATCGTTCTCAAAGAACTTTGGGCTTGGCCCCCGCTGTTCTTATTGGCATGACCTGGGAATCACTCAGACAATCAGCTCCAGAATATTCTGGAAAAGATGAAAAAAACATACAGAAATCACATTGTCATCCAAATTATTTGCTTCATTGCGGATCATTCTGTCCATACCATCTTCTCATACTTCTTCATATGCATGACTCTGTGTGTGTGTAAGTGTGTGTGTGCATATAACATCATATAAAATCATTTTGCATGATATAGCATGATATAGCATCATATAACATCATCATATATCATATAACATCATATAACATCATATAACATCATATAACCACAGGGTCTCTATAAAATGACTGTACCCAACCCATCCATTCAATTCCGTTCCCATATGTTCCCATAGAAATGATGAAAACGGCACCAAGAAGATGCCCAGCAAATACCTCTGAATCTGAACCTAGGCACATGGTCCTGGAACGCAATAGTAGGGCTGCCCTTGAAAGCTCGGTGTCATCACCGGGAGACGTGGCAAATTGTGAAGTGGTAGAGGCTGGAACTTCAACTCCCGGAAAAATTTTGAGTCGAACAACGACCTGAGAACAACATTGATACTCTATGGGCCCCTCAAATTTCTCTCCAAGGCTCCGTGTGTAAACTGTTTATGCTTCGTGAAGTAGAGAACATAAAACACAGTCAGTTTATGTCCATTCGATAGAATGACAAATCACAACGGGCCTACATGAAAGATCAGGAAAATG